ATAAATAAATATGTATATATAAAATTTGCCTTTTTAAATAGTAATAATAATAATCCAAACACTAAAAACTTACCTGTACTACTGATTTCCTCAAAAAATTCATAAGAAACGATTCATACTGTGAGTCAACAAATACCTTTTGGCCAATTCTATTCTCGCAATCCAATACTTGTCCATTATATACCTGCTTGGATTCACGAAGAATTGTCTATATTTCAAAATGAATAAATATAAAGAATTGTATAGGTAACTATGTTGTTTACAAATATTATTTATATATATATATATATATATTATACATAGTCATAAGTATGTAAATATATATATATGTGCTTATTTGTATTTGTATAATATTTTTCAAAAATATAATGTTTCCATACCATCAATGCGCAACAAAGTTGTTGCATAACGCTTGGACAAGTATATAATTGTTTGTTCACACTAAATGTTACCCTGTTAACCTTGGGCAATTCCTTGCCTTTTCCTTTCCATATTTTACCATTTTTAGGTTTGGTACCTTGTGATGATGTATTAATAGTTTCAAAGTTACTAATGACAGTATTTTCAGTTGTTCTAAAAACATAAAACGTATTAGTCATTCCGTCTGATATTTGTCCTTTTGGACCTAGTGAGGGAAATCCTGTTGTGGATATTGAAATGATAATACCAGCAGCATTTGGATGCTTTATATATAATGTGTGTATATATTAGACGCATTAATTAAAAGAATAGAAACTATCTTTGAGATATGATAAAATAAAATTAAGACGTTACTGGTATTTGCATTGCTTGTTGTTTTGTAATATCAGCTTGAGTAATAACCGAATTTGAAATAGTTGAGATGTTACTTTTATTTAAAATATAGGAAAAACCACACACAATCATCAATAAGATTAAAAATAATGAAAATGATAATATTAATATTAATATCGATGGAATTTGGAAACATCATACCTTCGATACCAGCCTACTAATACCAGCCCCATAATCTTAAAAATTTTGATAGCTTCTTGATAAGCCAGATTAACCTCTTTCACCGTATCAGTCAATAAAGAAGGAATATACCTAAATAAATAAATAATCATTAATATAGATACAAATGTATGTATAAATGAAAAGTATTTAATAATAAGGGAATAAAAAATTATTAACCTTTCCGAAGCTACAAATTGACTAACATGACATGTGATCATGTTATTGTCAAATTTGTCAATACTACATTTTCCTCCGAGATAACCAAGGACCTGATGTTTGGGATCAGAATAAGCACATTCCAAAAGAGCCGAAAATACTGACTCGTCAATGGATACGCGAAAATTTCTAAGAATAAAAATGAAGGGTAGATAAATTTGATTTGATTTTGTTAATTATCCGAGTCTTTTTTATCTTGCCAATTTTTTTTTGAACAAAAAAAATCTATGGCTACTATGTATATGTCAGTTTTGCTGACCACTCACAATGTAATTGGGAAGTGACTTGCTTACCCAGGACCCCGGTCAATCAGATTTGAGGTCATAGGAAAAGGTTGTAGAAATTTGTTTTTGAAATCAGTTTATAACTAAGGTGCCGAGTTTTTATGTTTGAAAGTAATGAAAATGTGTTGAACGATTAAATACTTGAATAATTTTTGATAAAGAAAACTTTTTAACAACTTTATTTAATGACGATCTTTAACTAATTTACAAGATCGTTTGAAATCCAAAGAAGTTTATACAAAATAGCTAAAATAATGAAAATAATAAACTTGTTCGTTATAATTTTTTTTGCTTGTTATTTTTTAGGTATTACAAAGTGAATTATGCTTTTTTTCATGTCATACATACATGTATATATGTATTAGTATAGAACTTCACACAAATTAACATTTTAATGAATTCTCTTAATAAACATATTCTTCAAGAGTCAAAGAATGTAATATATATTTTTGTTATCAATCGGATAATAAGTGAATAGAATTAAGGTTTGGACGCGTAATATTATGAAAATTATTGTTGGTGTTTTTTTTTATTTGTCACATCCAAAATTTGGTTAACTCTTTACTCCTCAGAATTTAATTTGATAAGGTTAAAAAAAGATATCCCTTTTAGCCTTATCTCTACTCCAAAAAGTTTCATTGTTTGCTTATAATAAGGATAATATTGATAAGTATTAATATTAAGAATTACATGTCTACAAGCTTGTTCAGTAGGAAACCTTTTACAAAAAATAGACCAATTTTCTTGGTTACAATAAACTCTCATTTCACCAACTACATCTACATCAGGATTGTCAATGTAATAAGATTCTTTTAAAACGTTAATTATTTATTGTCTAACTTCTTCATTATTCAACTGTTTAAATTGTAATGATGTTCAATTTCTTGCTCTTTATCAGCCAATTGCCTTTTCAATGTTTTCAATTTCGTTTAATAATTCTTTATTTGCTTGTTGTTGTTCGTTTATAATGTTTACCATGATTTTTGTTAATTATATACTTCAATTTTTAATAAATGCTTAATATCTTTCTTTTTATAAAATCATTTTTGGCATAATTCTTCTAAATCACCTTCAATATTAAGTATATAATTATTTTATTAGTTTATTTTTAAATTTTCTATTTGTTGTCAGCATAATCGGTTTTGGACAAGTAATACCTTTAAACTCATCCCTTACAAATGGGCAAATATTGTTATAAAGGTATTCTTGCCTTTTATAATCCAAAGAAGGTGTGTTAACACTAAAATAGATAAAGCTTTAATTTCTTCAAAAATATCTGCTTTCCTAGTTTTCAATAAATCAAATTCAGCAAAGGTTCCATTGGCAGCCTCCTGAACTTTAACAACACCAAGATTAGATGCTTCAAAAAGAAAATGTTGATATTTCTGGATGCTTGATAGTTTCTTAAAATAAATACCCAATATAGATTTGATATTCAAATATTGAAACCTTTTCCATCTTCATAACATTGTGCTTTATTTAATCCTGCTGGACTAGATCTTTTCACTACATCAACCACATGACTTACACAATCCACTCTTGTTTTCCTATAGAGTTTTTTATTAAACCAAAACTATCATCACATTTAAATTTGGTATGTCCTGGAACCATGAAATTCAGTTCAACACTTTTATAATAACCACAAATTTCTAGATACAAATAAATCAAATTATTGCATTATTTTTATTTTGTCCCTCAGCATTATCACAAGTAATCTTTAAATACTTTTCAATTTCTTAATTCCATCCAAAATCATACTAAGAGTGCCATTAGGACCTTTTTCCTATGATTTCATCTTCATCAAGAACATAATTGATTTGTTCCCTTATTGCTTCATATTGGATAACAATAAATGGACTTTACATTGACTAAGGTAATTAATTTTACTTACCTGTTGATCAGAATGTGGTACATGAATATTTTGGGCTCAATCATAACTGTAATGAGCAGTAGCATCAATACTGCAATATGGTGTTTTACCCTTTGAATAGTGTTGACCAACTAGTTCCCTTTGTTCTTCAGCCAATTTAGTATTTTTATTATAATAATTTCTTTATAATCTTGCCTTGGGCAGATGTTCTTTAATTGCCAATCTGTGAATGAATCAGAGAGACCCTCAAATCTGTGTTTCCTACATAAAAAAGTCTTTATTCATCACACAAACTATGTTAATTTTAGATAAAATTTTTTTTTGGTATTAATTTTATTCATATAGTTGGCTTGGTCTAAAGACCTCCTAAATTTTGGGCAAATTTTAAAAGTATAGAAGTCACTTTCTGTTCTACCTTTTAAAAAAATAACTCTATTAGTTGATAGAATATGACTTTAGTTTTAATGTAATAGAGATTTACTCAAAAAAATTATTTGTTGCAGAATTCTATTCTTTTTTAAAACATGTACTTTACTATGCTCGCGAGGAATTTGTCCACTATGATCATGTCTAAATTTAGGAAAAATCATTACTAAATTTAGACTAGCTCTTAATAGGAGGTCTTTAGACCGAGCCAACCATACATAAAAGTAATATCATCCTGTGGCACAAAAAAATAATACAATTTTTTGTGTAAAGGTTGTCAATTGGTGACATTTTGCACCAAAATTTACTATTAAAAAATGCAGATCTTTCTCTGATTCACCTTTTGAGTAAATATTTAGCCTTTTCTTCTTGGCAAGCATTGTAATGTAAACCATTTCGAAAATGTCACACAAGTCAGTTCTTGGACTCATAATTTGAATCTCTGATGTCATAATTTTCTGAAGGCATCACACTTCAAAGATTTCAATTTGCTATCTTCTTCTAGACCAGCCAGAAAATACGGGTACGTATTACTTTTACCGACAACACGCGACGCGCCATTTTAGCATTTTTATTAGATGTTTTGATTATGTGGAGGTTAAATGTAAACCCCTAGTTGTCGGTAAAAAATGAACTGTTGGTAAAATGAATGCCTCCCGAAAATAACAGATTTATGACCCATTTCAGCTGGTAAGAATGTAGCTGATTGAGTTATTCTATTGTTACTTCTCCCTGGGCTTGGTAAACCATGAACTTCAGCATAATTTTCCAGAAAATTCTTTATTATTTCTGCAACATTTTTGTCAATTACCATTTTAATTTTCCATTGAGGCATCCTTTTAATATTACCATGAACTCTTGTTAAAAGACCATGGTTTATCAGATGATTTCTGATATTTTCAAATAAGTTCTACCAATCCATAACATATTAAAATAAGTTTCTTGACAAAGGAGTGTATTGTGATCCCAGTAATAAAAAGTTCTTTTATTAGATCTAGTTTTCTTTTTAAGGTGTCTATTAATACTTTTTAATCCACCATCTATTGCTTTAAGTTGAGTCATCAAAAATGTGTCTTGTTCTGATTTGGTAAGAGATTGAAAAGATTCTCTTAATTCTGCAAATTGTTCTTTGGGAATTCTTAGATGTGTTAAAGATAAGAAATTATATATATAAATTCGTCAAAACCCAAGATACAAACTGATATAAACAATATTATATAATAATAAATTCACATTTTTGAATTTTGAAATCTTTGTGACTTCCTAATGAGTGTTATTAACTCAGAATCATGATTTTTGACATTGATGACCTTGAATCCTCTTTTGAAGTCAACGAGACTTCGTTGATTCGTTAGATGTTCCACTTGTTAGGAGCCATTTAACAAGTTTATTTATGTTTTAATCAGGAATTAAGCAAAATAGAATTTTTTTAATATTAAATTTGAATAATAATGCAAAATAAGAGAAAACTCACGTAAGACTAGTTTCCAGGATAAATTTGAAGGAATTTCTTGGTTAATTATTTTACAAAAGATACAACTTTCCAAAGAATGCTCATCAGGCATAATTGCTGTTTCTTTAAAATTAATTGTCACATGACCCATGATAAAAATAGATCAATGAATGGCATCTCAGTAACATCAAAGACCTTTTATCATAATAATATGGATAGTAATGTATGGATAGGACATAGATAGCATGTATACATACATGTATAATTCTATCGTATAAATAATACGGTTTGATTTCTGTGAGCCAAATATTTTCTATTTGTCTTTACTCTCGGATTATTTTTTTTATGATATATGCAATAGAATAAATATGTTTTATTTATTTTTTTTCTTTGAATTTTCTAATTTTTAAAATTATCTACTATTAGGAAATTATTGTTGTTATATGTTTTAAATTTTTTTTGCTTAGTGAAATTAGTTATGAAATCAATGAATATTATTCATTTTTTATTTATTCAATTATATTCGTTTTCTGCTTGTTTGTCTCTTCTTTCTTATCTTATTACACTCCACCGCGCAAAGACAGTACAAGATGAAGAACTTCTCCTGGTTTAATATTTGCATCATCAACAGTTTTATCGTCATTTCTATTCATATTTCATATGTAAATATATAGTCATATGTATCTATTTGTTCGTTTGTTTATTGTAGACATGTATTAACGGATGTAATTACAATATTAGAAAACATACATACAATTGTTTACCACCATAAATAAGACGTTGTTGAGGAGGCGGAATACCTTCCTTTTCTTCTACGCGTTCTTTAATCCTTGCTATCTATTTAAATTATTTGTTAATTAAATTCATTAATTTTCATTAATTAAATTTATAAAAAAATAATCAAAAAATTCATACTTTATCCTCCCTCTCAATATCTATTTCGATCTAAATATTTAAAGAATGTTTTCACGTTAGATGTGTGATTGTATATAAATAATATTTTTACAACGTAAAGCGCTTGATAACAATCTACTTACTTCTTTGCCTGTGAGTGTCTACATAATAATAATTATATAGGATTAGTATGTTAAAGCAGTGACGCCAAATAATAATTATTTTTCAAATTTATATTAGTAGTGTACCTTGACTTTTATAAGCATTTTGATAAATTATTTATTTGTAAAATAAAAATTCTTTACTACTACAATAATGGTGTTGTTACACGATTAAAAAAATAATAAATTCTGTTATTCAAAATTAACTGTATATTTATTTACTTATTTAATTTTTTAATTTAGATTAGATTATTATTTTAATTATACAATTATTAAGGAAAAAAAAATGCCAATTGAAGATCCAAGAGTTAGGCTAAGAAAAGCTGCATTTGAAGGAAATCTACATATTATCAAACGTTTAACAGCAAGAATAAGCATGCAAAATCCCGATTCTGAAAATGGATGGCATGTACAATTTGGTTTTAACTTAACAATTTGATTATCCCAATTATTTTATTAATCCTAATTTTGGAATAAATAAAACCAGGACTACAATAATGTATGCAGCTCGTTTTGGACATGAGCAAGTCGTTGAATTTCTTTTACAAAGAGGCCATGAAGATCCAGAAATCTCAAGAGTATATATCAATTCTAATAATTGCAATTGTATTCTAGTTGAAAAATTGATTATTATGTGCTTTCATTAATTATAACTCTAATTTTTGATTATAATTTAGGATTTTGAAAATAATACAGTTCTAATGATTGCTGCACAATATAATCACCTTGAAGTTAATAAGCCATATATTTTTCAAAAAACCTTATTATAAATATAAATATACTTACTAAATTTTTTATATTTACATTGTTAGATAATGAAATTATATGCAGCATTTTTTCCTAATAGTATTAATATGTGCAATAAACAAGGTCAAACAGCATTAATATTTGCATCTAAGCATGGACATCTTGAAATAATTGATGTGAATATTTTTATTAGTAGTAGTATTGCGGGAAAAAAAATTTATATTGATGATTAAATATTTTTTTTATAGTTTTTATTAGAATATGGAGCTGACATAAATCAAACAGATTATGAAGGCAATACGGCTTTACACTAGTAAGTAATCAAACATGTTATTAGAAGAAAAATATTATTTAAAATCACTAATTTAAGTTTTTTTAATCTAAAATTAAATATTAGTGCAGCAGCTTGGGATAAATCTTCGGTTAGTACTATTTATATTTTTTTTTTAAGATTGATAAAAATACATTAATATATTTATTCTAATCTACTAAATATCATTATAAAGGTTGTAACCATGTTGATTGAGCGTGAATGCCAATTTGCAGTAAAAAATATTGCAGGGTGGACTGCTTTAGATTATTCATATTCAATGAATTTAAAAGAACATTTACAAGGTATTGCATTTATACGATTGATTATAGGTGTTTATATATTTATATCTTTATCATTAATTGTTGTTGTTAATAAAATTAGAATGTGCTCGTACGCATCACGAAAATAAAATTATAAGAAGACGTAACAATCTCAAAATAAATATTGAGAGTTCTCCACTAATTGATTCAATGCCGTTTACTATACGGTCAGCAACTTTTCCACTTGTAAAATCAAATGATTTTCTGGATAATAATAATGGTAATAGCAACAACAGTAGCATTTCATCAAATTTATCATCAAATGATATAAATGCAATCAAAAGAAAAGAATCTTTACCTTGGTAACAAATATTTGCCACAATTTTTGTTTTTATTTTATTTTTGGATTTTATTTTTTCTTAATTTAATCTTAGATTTTTTAGATTTTTTAGATTTTTTAGATTAATTAATATATTAATAATAATTTTTGCATAATAATAATAATAATAATAATAATAATAATAATAATAATAATAATAATAATAATAATAATAATAATAATAATAATTAATATTTGGAACTTGATATCCACTTAACGGTGTAACATATATGTGCCACTGAGTTTCATATTAGCCATCATATGCTTTTTACTCGTTAACAGCAAGGCATATCTTGAGTAGAATCATTTAAAATGATGAAGTATTGTTATTATTGTTGTTGTAGATAATTTTAATTTGTGCGGAATGGACATTGGACTACTGTTGTAGATATAAATAAAGATATCCCGTGTGTTCCTTGCTGTATTGGCATCTCTATTCCACAAGGTCAGAATACTTTAAAGTATAGATGTGTTGTAGTTTTTCAAAGATGCCTTTTCATATTTCTTTGCACATCATTACACGCCTCAAGGAATATTTTGTTTACCATTAGAGTATATCAGTAAATTTTTAAATGATTTTGACAAGTTCATTAAATGAATCTAAAGCTCCGAACGAGCGAGCTCAAATTTGATTTATCCATTTTATTAAGTTGGCTCAAACTCAGCTTGAACTCAACCCAGCTCATTCAGAGCTCTAAGTCTAACAGAATGGCTACACACATGGAACTTTTCAATAGAAACGTGTGAAGCTCTGAAAAATATATTGAGAAAAATTTTTTCTTTTTGAAACTTTAAAGGAGAATATATCAAAACTTTACTATGCAAATGGGCATGATTTCTAAGCCAAAAACGTTCTACCTAAAGAGTTACATATAAGGGTAGCATTGACTCAAATTTGGTTTTTTTCAGTTTTACACGTTTCTATTGATATTAATGCAAGGTGCAAGACCTAGTCCCACGACTTTTATTGGTCTTGTAGATTCAAAAACGAAATGTAACAAATCGTGGTTTTGAAATTAAGACCTTTCTCTATAAAGTTACGATTTCATTTTGTTGATACGTCATGTTACTGTTGTGCGTGAAAATGAAATTTATGTGAATTTGCAATTCACGTACGTGAAATTCAAATTAGCCAATCAGAATTTCGTATCCAAACACCCCACCCCAAAATTTTTTAATTAATATTAATTAATTAAATTTCAATTTCACATACAGTTGACTCTGGCTGGCTATACCGAACTCTGGATATAGCGAATCAAAATCGCCATGACCGAATTTTTATAATTAATAAATCTGTTTATAACGAATCCGAACTCACCTTTTTTGAAGTTTCTTATTTAATTTGCTCTTCCTATATATAACATGAACACATGTAATCTCATGTGTAACATAATGCAAAATTTCGTAAACATTTTAGAATATCAAAAAAAATGTAACCATTGCCACTCAGAACAAAAATCATTCAAAATATTGCATTTACATATTATTAATTAGTATTAGTATTATTATTAATAATATTATGTCATGGCTTTTTGTAAAAAAAAGAATTCGCATGATTAGTAATGTTAATACTTTATTATAAATACCCTCAAATTTCCAGATGATTTGGTAGCAATACATAAATTATATTTCATAATTCTATATACTTTTGTTACTTTTATTTGTTTCTTTTATTTCCATTCATTGCTTCTTCTGGATAGATTGATAAGATTCTTATTTATATTTTATTTATATTTGAGAATGTTTTATAATTTCATATTATAAAAATAACTCTTATAAGCTTTTCTGATCAATAAATATTATTTAAATTATATATGTTGCCAATACGTGACACATCTAGCTGGCTATAACAAACACAAACAAAAATTCTCATGACAGGGGGTTCGGTATAAACAGAGTCAACTGTACCCTCAAAGTTGCACAGGTTTACTATGTTAACCAACAGGAGAGACCGTACTATATAAGGAATGGATTTTTACAATTGATTTCAATTTTTTTTATACAGTTTAAAATACTTTTACAAGGGTATCATGTAGCCCATTCTTACAATAAATCATGTGCAAATAATTACACAAACTTGAAGCTTTACACTTTGTTGTTATCATATCTTTTGAATCCCTTTGAATCCCACAACTTTCATAATACGATTTACTTGAAGAAAAATTGCCTGAAATTAAACATTGCACAGAATGTAAAACCACTGAATCAGCTAAATTTCATCAATGAAAGGCAATAAATGGAAAGAAGCCGAGAACAACAACTTAGTGAAAGTAACATGTTGTTTTATGTGACATTTGTTATATGAATTTTGTAGAAAAGCTTTTAAAAAGAGAACCTATGAGAGTAAAAACCACAGATGTGGAAGGGGAAGGGGAAGGGGAAGAGGTAAGTGAAAAGATTGATTGCTATAAGAAATAGAACCAAGCTTGAAGGGGTCTCTATTTAGCAGCTCAGCCATTTTAGTGTTCATGTGTTATCTTCTTGTTTTAAATAATACAAAAATTAACTCTTTTAAGTTTGACCTTGCATTCTATTTAGACTCAGTAGATACAAGTCTTGGAGTAACTACAACATCAAGAGCAGTAGATCATAAAAAGAAGCAAGTTACAGATGAACATGAGAAATGCACTTACAAAATATTTAAAACATACATTCTTGTTGAATGTTGATGATTATCATAGATTCACGTCCAGAAACAATCAGTATCCTTTAATACTAAAACTTTGTTACTTCTAGGAAATTATCTATCTACAAACATTTTTTACAATTACGTATAATGTGATTACACTAATTATACTAATTTGAATAATTGTAGTGT